AGGTTCCTGGAGAACGAGGGATGTGTAGGTCTTTAAGATAACCCAAGGGAACCACCGGACAGAGAAGGGTGGTGGAGCTACGGGCAACCACCGGACCTGAGAAGGGCCAGCAAGCGTGACAGCGGCAGGGGCGGCAAGCGGCGTGAGCACAGTGTGGTCGTGGAAGAAGCAGGAAGACGCTCTAGAGTCGAGCGTGAAGGAGAGCGATGCACTAGCATCCTTCTTCCATAATCCGCCTCCTTCTGCTGCTGACCACATTCCCCTATCCCTCTCCCGCTCCTTCTTCCCTCCTCCCTCTCCCTCTCCCTCTCCCTCTCCCTCTACCTCCCCCACTCCCTCTCTCTCTCCCTCTCCCACTCCCTCCTCTCTCTCCCTCCTCCTTCTCCCTCCTCCCTCTCCTCTCCCTCTCCCTCCTCCCTCTCTCTCCTCCCTCTCTCTCCTCCCTCTCCTTCTGGGGCTAGCGTGGAGCCTAGGCTAAACAAGGCATGCGGTCCTATGCCTGACGCAGCAGGGGAACCTAGACTACACACAGGGGACACACCTATGCTAGGCCATACCGGATAATAGGGTCCAGTCACACTAGAGTCATCAGCATACATGGCATACAAAGTAGACCTAATCTGATCCATATCCATCTCAAAGATAGGCACACGACGACGCACCAAGCTGTACCAGTCGAGGGGATCCACTGTGGGGCCGAAACGAAGACGGAAGAGGTCGTCGAGGCAGCGGTAGCAGTGCGCGGTGGTGTGACAGGGGCGGTCACAGACGGTGCCGCGGCGGGGGTCGGTCTAAAGCTGGTACTGCCAGGTGACCACACTGGAACCGCCACCCGATACCGAGGTGCGCCCCCCACCCCCACCAGCACCGCCAGTCCACCACGGCGGCGGGGGTCCCCACGGCAGCTGCTGCTGCTGCTGCTGCGACGGCTGTTGCTGTTGCTGGGGGTGCTGTTGCTGCTACTGAGGTTGTTACTGCTGCTGCTATGGGGCACCAGCTCCGGTCCCCTCGTCTGCACCACTGTCCCCTCCACCACCTCCGCCACCCCCGCCACCCCCGCCACCCCCGCCACCCCTCTTGCCGCCACGTCCCCCCCCGGGCCGGGCGTCCCCTACCCTGACGAGACTTCGCTGAGGCCGCCGTAGCGGTCTCAGCAGCAGGGGCCATCTCAGCAACATCGATAAAGACGTTAGACTAAGTGCACTGGAAGGGAGCACCCTGTAAGATAGAGATCGTCGCCGTATCGCTCGACTGAGCGATAGTGCGCTGACGGGTCTCTATCGTAGTCAAGGTAGTGACAAAGTTAGTGAGGGTGAGGTCAGCAGGGTGGAGGGCAAGGAAGTGGTCGCGGGCAGTGGCTAGGCAGTCAGGAAGGCGCGTGGCAAGGAAGTAGAGGGAAGCGCCGAGAGGGGGGAGGCAGTACAAGAAGCTGTGCCTCAGTGCTAGCAGCCTGGTACCTAGCCTCTAGTGCGCACAGGTGAGTGGCGAGATCAGCGACAGTGGGAAACAACGCAAGGTCAGGGAAGAGTAGGGGGAGGAGGAGACGACCGGCAGAGGCGGAGGAGGGAGTGGAATAGCGGGCCATCTAAGTATGCCATCGCAGTCTGCAGGGCCTGGTAGTGGGGTCGCTCAGACAGGGGGAGGGCGCGATTGATAGCTAGCTGCACAACTGCGTTACGTGACTCCCAGACGGAGCGAGCGAGCTAAGCAGCTGCAAAGGCCTCACGCTCAGCGGGCGTGGGGGCATCAGAGAGGGCAGCAGGCGGATCGGGGTAGGGGATCTTACTGTCGAAGTGAACAGCCAGAGACTGGCCATCCTGGCGCTGTCCCCTCAGCGAGCGGCAGAGGTCTGCGAGCCACGCCTCAAAGTCGATCACCCGACCCTCCGCGTCTAGGCGGAGCACATCGTCTGCCATCGCCACGGCTGCAGCAACTGACCGCCGCTAGGGGAGGAGGAGGAGAGGGCGGTGGAGAGCAGCGGTGGAGACGGCTGGCGAGAGCGCCGGCACAGAAGGAGGAACCAGGGCCGGCAGGTCAGGGTGGCACAGCAGCATGGCGGCTCGTTGACTCGGCAACTCGGCGACACGGCGGCTCGGCTTCTCGGCGGCTCGGCGGCTTGGCTGTGCGGTGGCGCAGCGTGGCGCGGCTCGGCGGCGCAATGACTCGGCCGGGTGGCCCAGCGGCTCGGCGGCGTGGCGCAGCGGCTCGGCAGCTCGGCGCGGCGCGGCTCGGTGTGGTGAGGCCGGCGCGGAGTTACGGGGCCGGCGCGGCGTGACGGGGCCGGCGCGGCGCGACGCGGTCGGAGCGGAGTGACGGGGTCGGCGCGGCGTGACGGGGCTGGCGCGGTCTACCGGGGCCGGCGCGACAGGATGGGGCGTGGGCTAGGGCGCGGTCTAAGGCTAGGGCTAGGGCTAGGGACGGAAGCGTAGGCGGGGAGGGAGACATAACCTAGCGTGATACCATGTTAGAACAACGCAATGAACTAGATTGTTCCATACAATGAGGTTTTGTGCTATGGTGCTGTACCCTCTATGAGCATGCATCTATCTAGCCTATAACATATACAAATATATGTTGACAGCTACTGTGTAGCCACTGCACTATCAAGCATATAAAACCCGCAGTTAGGTTTTTGAAACCCGCGGCTCCTTTGACCGCGGGTCTGCCTCTGGTCTGACTCTCGCTCCAGATTTCGCCCTCATTGGGCTTGGAACAAGTGATCGCGACTTGATGCTCCCAATATCTCGTAGAATGGTTCAATGCGGTGGCATGCGATTTGTGAAGGACTTGATGTTACGTGTTATGGGTGGAAACCCAGAGTAGTGCGGAAGTGAATATCGAGATTCAGAATTACAGATTCATAGATTGTCGGTACAATGAATGACGAGGCTAGATATAGGAACACCAGAGCGAACCCTAACCGCGCGATGCACACGTTCGGAGAAAGCATCCGAGGACGCGTAGCGCTTCGGAATTACGTAAAATGGTTCGGCGTAGCGTGTACGGTGATGGAACTAGGGCATAGCCCAGTGCTGTGTACGTTCGGTGTACCTGCTAGCACTGCGCCTCAGTAAGGAATTACTAATTCCTTACACCCCGTAACGTTTTGCTGTTTCCTGTTATGAATGAACAAGCAGAGTAGTGCGGAAATGAATAACAAAGTGTTCAATCACTGAATTACGATACAAGGAATGGCAAGCCAAGATAAAGGAACACCTGAGCTAGTCTAACCATGAGATGGGAAGGTTCGGGAAGGAGATCGAAGGGTCTCGAAGTGACAGAGCGAGGCCCAGAGAACTCCCGAAGGTCGAACTAGAAGGTCTGGAGAAGCCGAGGTGGTTCTGTCAGAAAGGTCCGGAACTGTCCCGAGGCTTCAGGTGTGTCCGAGCGTACGCGATAGCAGTACTGCCAGGTAAGGAATGGAAAATTCCTTACACCACCCCCCCCCCCCCCCCCCCCCCCCTTAGCGAAGGTGATCTATATCAGCCGCGTGCTTGCGGGCCAAATAATTCGCAAGTATCGAAGGTGACTGTATCTGGTCCGAGGGCACCCCGTGTCGTCCTCACTGGTACGATTGGTCCATCGTATCAGAAAGTCAACGTGTCGTCCTTGGCCGTCGATACAAATCTGATGGCTCAAAAGCTTTGAAGGCTCAATGGTCGTCTCCGCTGGTGGCCGTACATCCGGGACCAATCGCTGTCGGGCGATGTCCGATGTGTCGGGTACGAAAGGTCGCAACAGGCTCACGTGGAACTTGTTGTGAATACGCCAATCGTCAAGTAGGCGTAACTGGGCGGTCACGGGCGTCACCATCTTCATGATCTTGAATGGGCCACAGAAACGTGGTCGTAATTTTGTCGGTAGTGGCAGTCGTAAATTCTTGGTGTCCAAAAGGACTAGTTGCCCTGCTGCCATCGTAATATCCCGTCGATGTAAATCCGCATACCGTCGGGCAGTAGCATTCGCCTTGCGAAAAAAGTTCGATAGCTTTGTCTCGGGCAGTCTGTAATTCTTCAACGAACTGCTGCGACCGTGGTACTTGACTCTCTACATTGGTGGAGATAGGTACTGTCGGGTCCATCCCGTAATTGAGGTAAAGCGGGGAGTGATTAGTCGTGGCTGAGGGCACGTTGTTGTAGGAGAATTCCAACATGGGAAGCATGTCCTCCCATTTGTTTCGGTCAGGGCAGTTTGTCTGAATCAGCTGCTCCATCATTTGGTTTGTCCTTTCTGTCTGGCCGTCCGTTTGGGGATGATAAGCGGATGAGAACCGCAGGCGCGTGCCGTACCGAGCCCACGTGTCCTGCCAAAATTTCGACGTGAACTTCGGATCTCGGTCGCTAATGATTGGTGCTGGTATCCAGTGTAGGCGAACAACGGTCGAGATGAAAGGGCGCGCAGTTTCTTCGGCTGTGATGGTTGTACGACATGGTGCGAAATGCGCCATTTTTGTCAATCGGTCGACGACGACCAATACTGCGTCGTTTCCGCTGGATCCGGCCGGTAGACCTGTGACGAAATCCATCGTTACGTGTTGCCATGGGCGTTGAGGTGGCTCGAAGGGCTGCAACAGTCTTGTCGGTCGCTGATGTGATGATTTCATTCGCTGGCAGATCAGACACGCGGCCACGTAACGCTGCACGTCCGTCACCTTATCTGGCCAGTAATAAAACCGTTGCAACGCCTTCAGAGTTTTATCAACCCCGAAATGTCCCGATAAATTCGAATCGTGGACTTCTTGAATTAGTAATTCGCGAAGTAGACAATAACTTGGGACCCAAATTCGATCCGTCCCACTTCGTAAGTAATGGATGCCTTTCCGTGTAGTAATTTGGAGATGGCCGTCATTTACGAAGAAGGGGTCGGTCGAATACCCGTGGATAAATAGTCCACTCAGTAGCGGGTTTCTTTGGGCGACTAGTACTGCTGCGAGTTGGGCAGACGGTCTGGAGAGGGCGTCGGCAATATTGTTGGCGCCTTTTTTGTACGTGAAGCTGGACTCCAGATATTCCAGCCAGCGTATCTACCGCGGGTTGAGATTCGGCTGCGCTCTCAGGTACTGTAGAGATTTGTGATCAGTTCGCACCGTCATGTCTGCTCCGGTCAGGTGGCACCTCCAGATTTTGAACGCGTGGACAATCGCCAGCATCTCCTTGTCGTGTACCTGGTAGTTGCGCTCAGCAGATTGCATTTTTTTAGACTCGTACGCGAGTGGTTGAAGGCCATTGCCGAAATCTTGCATGAGCACTGCTCTGATGGCGATGTCACTTGCGTCGGTGATGACTTCGAAGGGCCGTTCCGGGTCGGCAATGCGAAGTACCGGTGGCGACATTAAAAGAGTTGTTAATGCCTCGAACGCAGCTTGCTGCTTCTCCCCCCACTCGTAAATAGTCCCCTTCTGCAGTAGGTTGGTTAGAGGTCCAGTTAACCCCACCATGTTGGGTATAAACCGCCGCACGTAATTCACCAAACCCAGAAATGATTGCAGTTGCTGCAGATTTGTTGGCGGTTTCCACTCTTGAATAGCCCAGAGTTTTTTCGGGTCTATTTGAATCCCCTCCATGGAGATTACGTGCCCCAGGAACTCCAATTCTTGTTTTAGAAACTCGCACTTGGAGCCCTTGATGATGAGACGATGCTGCTGTAGTTGCTGAAAAATCGCTTCCAAGTTCTTTAAATGTTGCTCCCGGGTCGTGCTGTAAATCAGGATGTCGTCCAAGTAAATTATCACACATTTGTCGAGTAGATCGCAGAACACCCCACTCATGGTGAGTTGGAACGTCAAGGGGGCGTTCGTTAATCCAAACGGCATCACCGTGTATTCGTAACTCCCGTAGTGAGTACGAAACGCGGTCTTGTGGCAGTCGTCAGCGAACACCCGAATTTGATGGTAACCGCCACGAAGGTCGATCTTCGAAAAATAGTGAGCTCCGCGAAGGTTGTCAATCAACTCGTCAATGTGTGGGATTGGGTAGCGCGATTTTATCGTTACCTGATTAAGGGCACGATAGTCCGTAGACATGCGAAGTCCGCCGTCCTACTTTGGGGTGAACAGGATCGGCGCTGCGAACGGGGACGTGCTCGGCCGAATAAACCCTTTTCCAGCAGGTAGTCCAGCTGGTTCCGTAATTCATAGAGCTCCGGCTGAGTCAGGTGCCATCGAGTTCGTACAGTAGGCTGCGCGCCGGGCTCTAGCTCGATTGTGTGGTCCTGGGGTCGTTCGGGTGGCAGTCCACTTGGCAAGTCGTCCGTGAAATTCTCGAGATATTCCCGAATGATTTTGCCAAGTCATCCGGGACCGAAGCGCAAAGTTTGTTGATGTCGGTTGCCTCGTTCTGCTCCGTCGATTCGGTGAGATGGACGGCGTATAAATCTGCTCCATTCCTGACCGCTCGGTTGAGGCACATAGCGTTGACGCGTGTCGAGGTTGTCTCTGCTTCCGGCCACGTGGGTAATTTTCGCCAGCCTTTTTCGCACTTCACTGTGCACTCGCATGTCGTCCAATCGATCTGCGGATGGAATCTTCGCAGCCAATCGCGTCCCAATAGCACATCGTAGCCGTCGAGTGTTGTCGCCAGCATCGGCGCGCTAAAGCCGAAATCTTCGCCACACTTCATTCGAACGATAGGTACTTTGTCGCGTATCGCCAGCGGGATGCCATCCACCAGTCGCGCGTCGATTTCGGGCGGACACCGCTCCAAAGATAAATGTAGTCTTCGTGCTATCTCTCGATTTATCAAGCTGTGACTCGCACCTCCGTCAATGAATATTTTTATTTTTCTTCCATTGAGTCGTCCCTCCGCCAGCACAGGGTGGTCCACTAGGTTATCCCCCTTATTCAGCCGGGAGCGGTTGATAGCGTGTATCGGAACCACTACTCGGTGGGGATGGTGTTTTTGGGACGATGAGGCAGGGTCAGTAAGGGGCCCAACCGCTACCGACGCTTGGCGTTTCCCGACCTGCCTTCATCGTTCTTCTTTATCTGCTTCTTTCGGGGGCAATCGCGAGATTGGTGACCTGGCTGGTGGCAGTTGAAACATTGTCCCTTGCGAAAATCTTCCATGTGCTCCCCCGCCACTACGCCGTGAATCATGGGCCGTGGATCCTGACTGCTTCGTGAAACGTCGCCGGTAGTCGCAGTCGGACCTCGCATTTAAAGCGAGGGTCTCAAGAAGCAAAAAACCAAACCCAAAGGTTTTGGTTTCGGGGGATCTCAAAAATTGCGAGGTGTGGTAAGGGGTGCTGGTTGGGCGCTGTAACTGTTTCGCAAAGTTCGTCAACCCAGAACCAAAACCTTTGGATTTGGTTTTCTGCTTCTTGAGACCCTCGCTCTAATGTCCTGCTTCAAGTCCAAAATGAATCGAGCTTTCTTCTCGGAGTCATGCATGTCGGTGATTTGATCGCATAACGCCATGAACAGCGACGCGCAATCTTGGACAGAACTCCACTGACGCCAGTTGTCCAGCTTCGTGCGTGCATTGTCCGAGGCGGATATGGGCTCGAACCGTTCACGCAGAGCTGTACTGTGAGAGTACGACCCCGTTACACCACTTGTTCCTTTTCTTATTTCCTTCCTCTTTCATTTCTCTTTTTATCTCATCTCATTTGGTTTCCTATTCTCCATTTTCCATTAACCTTTGGTTTATCCTGCTATTATAATTATATCACCAACCAGGCTTGGGATGTACTGGTGCGCTATCTGGCGTAATCCTGCCGTAATCCCTTAAAGCCAATAGCCTCGCGTGGCTATACGCAGGGTGATTCTATCTTCTAGAAGGGTCTATTCCCTTAGGATAAGATAAACCTGGTTGCCTGATGTACTTTGGAAGTATAAAATCGCATTGTACTAGTCGATAGTGCAACCTTTCCTCGAGACATTCGATCCTGTGACATGTACCCCACGCCTTCCACGTGCGAATCTTGGTCGATCCGAAAATCGCGGTTGACCCTTTGGCAGCAGACCCAAGGTTTCTGAAAAACCCATGTGTGTCGCCTGCCGAAAACTCCCCCTCCTGTAGTGTATATCGCCACCAATCTAGCGCAGGTCCCCGCAGTAGTGATACATGTTGAGTGACCCGCTGGGGTTGCCCTTGAGATCCTCGGGAAAGGGCCACAGGTGCAGAGCCTGGGGGGCTATGGGCGCACTAACCCGCTATTAACAAGCCCTTTTAACCCAGTGGTTAGTGGCTGGGTTTCTGACATGGTACATCAGAGCCAAAGGTCTTGGGTTCAACTCCCAGTGCCAGCGCTGCAGAGGCGCTCGTGTCTTCCACCTATCCCAGCGGGGGGGGGGGTGTTGAGTGACCCGCTGGGGTTGCCCTTGAGATCCTCGGGAAAGGGCCACAGGTGCAGAGCCTGGGGGGCTATGGGCGCACTAACCCGCTATTAACAAGCCCTTTTAACCCAGTGGTTAGTGGCTGGGTTTCTGACAATACAGCCAGCCGAATTTTTAAATCGTTAGCAGTGATCCCAGCGGCATTAAAATAAAGTTCCGCAGAAAATAACAAGTCCGTAACAGTAGTATTCTTATCTGTGGGGTTGAACGTGGGCGGCATTGTCAGTTTGATCGTCGCTGTCGTCACGATCGGCACAAATGCCGGTGCGGCTGTTCTGACCGAGCGGCTGCTGCTGCTGCTTCAGCTGGTGCTCGTGCTGCCACGTCAGCTGCTGCGGCGGCTTCTCTGTCCTTGCGCTCCTGCGACACCTCACGTGCGATTTTGTCCAAAACGGTTTCGACACGCCCAGTGCTGGCGACCTCCTCTTGGGCGGCAGTTTTCTGGTGCGAATCCTCTCGCGCCTGGCGTGAAGTCGCTTGTTGTCATCCAGCACTGTAGCCATGCGTATGTTCATGGAGTTGAACTGCTCCCGAAGCTCGTTGAATTGAGCTTGGCCCATTTGGCGAATGCTCCACTGGGGCAGGGGGAAATCCGTAGTGTGCTTGTACTCAGGTAAGCGCAAACGCTATCGGAGTTGGGCGAATTAACCAGTCTAATTCGCGAGCAACCACTTGGCAGCTTACGTGAGGGACTTACCCCCCTTAAAAAAAAAAATCAACTCACGAAAACGGGTGAGCGAGGAAAGTGGCTATGAATACCAGGTGTTATGAATGAACAAGCAGAGTAGCGCGGAAATGAATAACGAAGTGTTCAATCACTGAATGACGATACAAGGAATGGCAAGCCAAGATATAGGAACACCAAAGCTAGTCTAACCATGAGATGGGAAGGTTCGGGAAGGACATCGAATGGGTCTCGAAGTGACGAAGCGAGGCCCGGAAACTCCCGAAGATCGAACTAGAAGGTCTGGAGAAGCCGAGGCGGTTCTGTCAGAAAGGTCCGGAACTGTCCCGAGGCTTCGGGTGTGTTTGAGCGTACGTGATAGCAGTACCGCTAGGTAAGGAATGGAAAATTCCTTACATTTCCAAACCTAGATGGTAACACATCCAAAAGGATGTCCAATGATTTGACCCGAGCATTCAAACTTGCAGTCTGACAGGCAAAATCGAAGTGCGAGGTGGTTCGAGTCCGAACCTCGAACCTTTACGCAGTCAAAAGTCGGTGCGAGAACGGGCAGATTCCATGAAAACGTGAAAACCCTCGAAACCCAAACCGGTTTGACGTCCGTGAACATCGAAGCTTGATGTTGGTCGGGTGTTCTCGTCCGCGATCCACGGAGAGCCCGTATTCTACACTTATGGAAGTTGTTCGACACCCACCAAAATGGAACACTTCCATCACGTGCAGCCAGCGTCCAATCCCGCTGAAGGTGAACCAGAACCCCGGGGGATATTTTCTGATATGGGACATGCGACACCTCCTTTAGCCGCCGTCAGCCACCCTCAATACTTTGTTCGCGCCCTAAGATCCCGTCCCGTAGACAGCAACATTCATCAGTCTGAGCTGGGCTCCCAAACCCCCCGACCTTGGGCAGATCTTTATTTTCTTTTGTATGCACTTCGCAGTTCACATGCAGAAGCACAATTTGTGTTCCTTTCTGTGCTCCCTTTCTTGTAGCTCCTCCACCAGTCCCATCTTTCAGATTCACAAGCCTGGGTGCAGTCACCCTGTAGCTATTGCACAATGGATTCCGTACAAACCGCACTTAGTGATGCCCAACGAAAGCTGCAACAGCTTGGCCCAGCGCCAGACGCCGCTGATGTGGATTTGGCAGAGAAGCGGATGGTGGAGATCGAGAGGCGCCTCGCCGCCACCCTGACTCAGCTGGACGTGGAGAGCCCCCCAGACTCAGTTAGTGGCCAGCAGTTCCTACTGCTTCAGGTCCGGTTTTAACCTTCTCTCGTGTAAACCCTTCTCTGCTCTTCGGTCGTCATCGGCCGGTGGTCGTATTCACTCGTAACAGGCTCGTTCCTAGCAAGTTTCATATACATATGCGAATCGCTACTTGTAACCTCTCCTCAGTTTCTTCGGTTGTTTCCAACCATTCTCCGTCCTTCACGCACGATACAGTTAACGCGTTCCTGGTGTTGTATTCTTGACTTCCCCCCTTCTCTGTCCACCCTGTGCGCGAGAACGCTCTTCAAGAACTCTCCGTAGATTGTTGAGTCACCTGTGGTTGTCACTTGCGCCACACCACGGTGTCTCTGCTTCATTGCTGTGTCGCATCGCTCGATCCCTGGTTACGCTGCCACGCGTGCAGGAGAAGCGCAAGGAAGTGGCGCGGGAGGAGGCGGAGGAGCAGAAGCGTCCGCACATGGCGCTGTTGGAGCGCCACCGGCAGGTGCTGCAGCTGCAGGAGGTCGTGCAGCTGGCGCAGGCCGCGCTGGCGGGGGGAGATGACGCAGCAGGGGAGGCGGACGGGCAGAGTTTGTCGCAGGCGATAGCAGCAGTGGGTGCGGGCGCTGACACTGGGCCTCGCAGCGCGCGGTACCTGAAGGCGGCGCGGGACAGGGGCGTGCTGCAGGCGATGCAGGCGGCGGCAGCGGAGAGCAAGGAGAGCCTGGACCTCAGCAACCGCTGCATCGACTGGCTGCCGGAACCGCTGGCGCGGCTGGGCAGCGTGAAGGTCGTCGACCTGTCAGGCAACCAGATCGAGGTGAGCTGCGCTGCCCGCTCCTCTCTCTTCCCGCTTCACCGCATGCCACTGCTCTCCCCAATACCGCCTCGGTTCTCCCCCTGCGCCATGTTTGAATCTGGCCTGACTGCAGGTGCTGCCAGACGTGCTGGGAGGACTGACCTCGCTCACCTCTCTCAACCTGCATGCCAACCGCCTCTCCACGCTGCCCGCGTCCATCGGGCTGCTGTCCGCCATGCAGTCCCTGGACGTTTCCACCAACTGCCTGCAGCGCCTGCCAGACTCCATCGTCAACTGCAGGTGCACCACACAACACGCTGCTCTACGCTGCCCTACTGGGGCTTCCCTCAAATAATAGTTCCCTTGCTTTTTGTTTCCAACATCCTTACTGCCCGCAGCTCTTGTCTCTGCGTTTGTGTGCCCGTCTATTCTTTCCATCCTTTTACTCTCTTTCCCCTGCCCCTGCCTGCCGTGCCCCTGCCTTCCATGCCTCGCAGTGCGCTCACCTCTTTGAACCTCAACTTCAACAACCTGGAGAAGCTGCCTGACCGCTTTGGCTCGGGCATGCCTCATCTGACCCGCCTTTCCCTGGCGCTCAACAAGCTCACGGGCATGCCCGATTCCATTGGCGACCTGGCGTCGCTCACCTTCCTCGACCTGCACTTCAACCGCCTGCAGTCGCTGCCGTCCACCATCGCGCACCTCTCAGCGCTGCACACACTGCTCCTCTCCGACAATTTCGCTGACCTCACTGACCTGCCGCCCGCCCTGGGCCGCCTGTCGTCTCTGCGGCACCTGGACGTGCGCAACAACCAGGTGCACGCGCTGCCCGTGGAGATGGGGCGCCTCACCGCACTGGAGCGCCTGCAGCTGGAGGGCAACCCGTGGCAGAGCCCCCCGCTGGACCTGGTGCAGTGCAACGACACGTACCTCGTGAAGCTCTTCCTCGCTGACCGCCTGCGCGAGCAGCAGCAGCTCGCAGACGCTGCTGTGGGGTCGGCGTCATGGATGGCATGGTTTGGCAGCCTGCTGCGTGACCTGACGTTTGTGCAGTGGCTCAACTCGGTGATGGCCGGGACTCCCATGGGCAGCCTCGCTGGCCCCAACGTGCTAGGGCTCGAGGCAGCAGGCAGCGCTCACAACGGCGTGGAGATCCCCCTCACTGGTGCGGGCTCACAGCAGGCGCTGGTGAATGCAGCAGAGAATGGAGGACAGGCGGGAGCAGGCAAGGGACAGGATGTGGTGCTGCACATGGGGTGACATGGATGCAAGTGCTTTGTCTTCCATCCAGACTGCTCTTGCATGCCCAGCTAATAAACTCCGCTATTCTGAGGCTGTATACCATAGCTCTTGTTATGTTTATACTCTGGAAATTGGCCATTGCTGCATGGATGGTGTAGTAGTGTAGTTGAAACGTGTATGAGCTAAGTTGTATGTGAGACAGGTTGACATTGGAGAGGGTAGGGTATTTAGTCTCCAGCCTAAATGTGACAATAATAGCAGACAGCTGAGTGAATGGGAGAGGAGCCACCTCTTGCTCCATCCATCCACTCAAGTATTACCTACATTATGGTGCTAACAACTACATATTTCGCTTCACGGTGCATGACATGAGCATCGCACCGATGCATCAATCTACATCACGGTGCGTTGCCGTGGTCTCGGCACCTGCCTCGCCCTCGTCCCCTCTGTAGCCCTCAGGCCCCACCATGCCTGTGTGCTCATCATCCCCCTCGAGCTCCTCCTCCACCTCCTCGCCCTCCTCTGCCTCATGCGCCTCTGCCAGCCCTTGCTCCTCGTCCTCCCCCTCCGCCGTCTGCCGCACCGTGCCGTACCGCGTCATGGACTGCCGCCGCCGCCACACCACGCCCACGGCGCCCACCACCAGCACCAGCGCCACCACCCCGCCCAGCAGCGGTAAGAGAGGCTCAAACCAGCCTGGGCTGCTGATGGAGAGCAGGCTAACGGCAGGCGCCGTTGCAGGGCAGGGGGGGGGGGGCAGGCACGGAGAGAAAACAAACGGAACGAGAACAAGGGAGGAGTTGTGGAAGGGGGGCAAAGGGATGAAAAGGGTTGTGGGGTGAGAAAGCAGCAACGAGCAGTAGAGAGGCGGGTGAGGGAGGGACATAGTTTTGAGATGTGTTGCGATGCACCGGGGTGGGATGGGATGGGATAAAATGGGATGGGATGGGATGGGATGGCATGGCATGGCATGGCATGGGATGGCATGGGATGGGATTGGATGGCATGGGATGGGATGAGGAACAGACGGTCGTCGACTTGAGGGATGCAAGGAGGCCAGCCGCATGTCCAAGCATGGGCTTCATGTGACACAACAGGGGCAGGCGGCAAGGAGTGTAGAGACATGAGTGCAATTGGATGATGGGAGGTTGAGGAGGGAGAAGGCGGGGGACGCACTTGGATTGCGGGCGCTGCAGGTTGACGGAGACGTCAGCAACAGTGACATGGCCGAAGACATCGTTCACCTTGATGGTGCCGCGCAGCAGCGTCTCCACGCGCTGCCACGCACGCACGCACAGCCACGAGGGGGGGGGGCATGAGGGAGATAAAAGGAAGATTACCTCAGTGGAGGGGGGGCGGATGAATGGGTAACAATGGCTGTGTGAGCCATGCAACGAGGCACCAAGGCATGGGCAAAAAGTATAGACTAGTGTGAGAGAGGAGAGTGGTGTGAGGGGAGGGGGAGAGGAGTGGTGTGAGGGGAGGGGGAGGGGAGTGGTGTGAGGGGAGGGGGAGGGGAGTGATGTGAGGGGAGGGGGAGGGGAGTGATGTGAGGGCAGTCACCTCAAGTGAGGCGGCGGGGAGGACGTCATCAGGAGGAAGTGGCAGGATCAAGAGGCTGACGCTGGTCACCGCTGGCGACGATGCTGATGCTGCCCGCACCTCCACAAACTTGTCCACTGACACCTGGCAGGCATGTGGGATGTGTGACGCATGCGGGCATGTGAGAAGGTTAAGACATGGGGAGCATGTACATGACACATGTGTGCAGACAGCAGCTCACATGCCAGTCACAGCAGCACGAGCACACTGCACTATGTTGCACTCCCAGCACCTTCAGCTGGTCCAAGTGCCACACTCCCCAGGCCGCTTAGTCCATGTGCTCTGTGCTCCCTGCCACTTCTCCCATCCCTCCACCCTTCCCATCCCCCCCCACCTGCACGTCCTCCAGCTTGAGCGCGGTGGCCATGCCGTGCACGAAGTCGGGCACGAGTGGTGCGAAGTCGATAAGCGGCAGCGGCACACGCATCTCCACGCGCAGGCTGCTCGCACAGTCCAAGCACTCGTCTGCCAAACCCACCACACACGCACGGCCAGGGGGCAGTGGTCACGAAAGACGCCCGGAGGGGGGGAAGGGAGGGAATGGGCAGGAGCCAGCATGCAAGCTAGCGGGCTGCAGGCAGACTGCCAAGACGGTAAACAGAATGCAGAAAAAGAAGCGCCAAGTGCGTGGTGCATAACAACAGATGGCTCGGGTGTGAAATGCACCTCGTGCCACTGCCCCATGAAGCGTACGAGCTCTGCATGGTCCAAAGGCCTCTATTTCACCCACTCGCTCGGGCTTCAGCCCCGTACCACACCCATGCCCCAAACCCATGCCACACCCAAGCCCCTAGCCCATGTATGTGTCCCCCCGGCGCACCAAAGAGTGAGCCGTCACTGCCGTCCGAGGCGTTGTGGGGCAGGTGGGCGGAGTCGGGCAGCGGGGGGGGCTGCTCCGCCAGCTCGTCGGCGAGGGGCGGGGCGTTGGCGCCCTGCAGCGCGTGCAGCTGGGAGAAGAGGTGCGCGCACTCCGTCTTCCACAGCCCCACGCGGCTGCGCGTGCGGTCGTACGTCACCAGCGTGTTGCGCGTGATGATGCCTGCCAGTGCGGCCGTCACACGGGCAGAGCAGGCGGAGGGCCACCACTGTGAGGTATGACGACAAGCCTAGGAAGGGAGAAGCCTAGGAAGGAGAGCCTTGTGAAACAAAAGGGCGAGGGAGGGTGGCAGGCATGGGCGCACATGGTGGCAGCAAGGCGCTCAGCACAAGGGCGAGGAGCAAGAGTGTGTGCATGCGAGGTGCGCGTGAGCAGGAGTGCTCAAGCTGTGAATGCGATGCGGCACATGGCTTGGGAGGCACTGCAGCCACGCACTGCCATGGCGCTGCTGGGCGCGCAGAGAGGAGGAGAAGGAGAGGAGTGGTGCGAAGACACTCAGTACCTCCAAGGAGAGTGCCCTCGTCGGCATTGGCGAAGAGCGCAAGGCAATACGCGCCCTTAACCTTGGTGTGCTGATGCATGGCACGCACGCCAACACACACGAAGCACAGACACAAAGGCACGAACACAATAACATGTGAAAGATCAGAAAGATAGCAGAGTAGGACGAAGAAAAGATGTGCAGGCATTCAGGGGGAGGTGTTTGACATCGGACATGCACACGAGAAATTGAGAGAACAGAGAGACAATATAGACGAGCGGAGAAAACGACTGTGACCGCGGACGATACGGGGGGTGGGTTAACCAGGGAGAAGAATGGGGATGTGAGAGAAGAGAGAAACCGTGGCAACGGCGGGCAGCACATGCAGTGGGAAGGGGTGGCGGCATAGCAGCATGGTGAGTGTGCGTACCCGGAAGAGGAAGTTCTCGGGGCTGAGCTCGTACGCCACATCGCCGCCCAGGTTGAGCGCCACGGGCGGGAAGAAGTTGCTCAGCTCCGACAGGTCCCTGGCCGTGTGGCGGGGAGGGGGGGGGGGGGGGGGAGATGACAAGTGCAAGGGGCACACGGGATGGATGTGGGGAGCGCAGTGCAGCAGTAGCAATGAATGGACGCAGATGAGGGGGCGCAGCGGGGAAGTGCAAGTGGGTCACGGTACACACAGCACGAGCTGGCGCAAGGGAGCAGTCACTCGTAGCTTGGCGCCAGTGGGAGGATGAGGGAATTTGGAGGAGAGAATGAACGAGGGAGCGAGAGAGAGAGAGAGAGAGAGAGAGAGAGAGAGAGAGAGAGAGAGAGAGAGAGAGAGAACAGAATAGTGGGAGAGAGAGAGAGAGAGAGAGAGAGAGAGAGAGAGAGAGAGAGAGAGGGGGGGGGGGGGGGGGAAGAGAGGGGGGGAAGGGGAGTCTCACTCCGTGGCACCGCTGAAGCACACGTCATCGTATGCCTCATCCGGCCCGGGCACAGGCCGCAGCCCGTTCACTCCCTCCGACATCTGCGCGCACGCAGGGGAGAGGCCGGAGAGGGGGGGGAAGGAGAAAAGAACACATGGAGGGGAAACGAGGGTGGTTGTGGAGGGGCGGCGCTGAGAAGCAGCGAGCGCGAGAGGCGGCAGCAGCGAGGTGGTGGGCAGGGCCACGCGACATGCGGTTAGAGCGGAGGTCAGTGGAGGCAGGCAGGGCGCGGCGTCGGCAGGCAGCGCACCGCTTTCTTGAAGGCGTTGAAGGCGGCGGGCGGCAGGTACGCGAAGGTGGTGCCACTGTCCAGCACGGTGCCGTAGCCGGCGCGGAACACGGACTCGTCCAGCTGCAGAGGCACGCCCGCCACCGTGATGCTGCGCAGCTCCACGTTGTAGTACGTGCCCTGCCTGCACGCACGCTCGCACGTGAACAAACAGCAGGGACCGCCAAGGGTGTGGGAGGCGAGATGCAATGAACCATAAGCTCAATTTGCGTACAGAAACATGCGCATCATCGCCCATCCCCACCCAGCGCAGCGGTGCGGTGCGGCGGTGCGTACCCCTGGGAGAGCGAGGTGAACTTCATGCCGGGTGGCGGCCTGGTGAAGCCCATAATCATGGCGCCGCCGTTGGCGTCCATGCCGCCGTAGCACAGCGAGAACACCTCGCGCATGGCCTTGCGCTCCACCAGCTGCGTCACCAGCCCCAGCGGGCCGCGCCCCATGCCCAGGATGCCGTCCGCCTGCTGCGAGTAGATGTCGCCCGTCTCGCTCGTCTCGCACCCGAAGAGCACGCGCGTGGGCGGGATGTTGGACGTGTTGCCGAACCACGCCATGTCCGACACGATCAGCCCGCTGCTGCTGCTGTTCTCGGCGTAGTGCCGCTCGTACGAGCACACCGACTCGCTCTCGCACTCCCACGTCGGGCACTTGTCCGCGTTGCACCCCACCGGCTCGTACGTCGACGACTTGCGCGGCACGAACGGCGCGTCCTGCGGGGCACAAGCGCACGGCCACGCGACGGAGGGGAGATCGCACGCGATGTCAGCCCTCGCACGCAAGCATGCAACGGCCTGTCGCGTCTCACCGTTGCGGAATTGGCGGGCGTTACCTGGTGGTGGCTGCCGCACTGCTTGCACGTGGCGCACGGCACGTACGTCACGGTGCTGCCCGTGTCCACGATCAACGCGAACCGCCGCGGCGGCGTGCCGAACCACACGTTCGCGTAGTAGTACCTGCGCTTCGAAGGGGGGAGGGGCAGGGGGGGAGAGAAAAGCAGGAGGGGAAGTGGAGAGAAACGGGGAAGGACCGCAGAGAGCGGGTTTAGGGCGGAGGAACGACGAGAAGGAGGGGCGCGGAAGTGGACGCGCCGATGGGCGATGGCGCGCGCGATGCACGGGGGTGCAACCCCACGGCATGCGACACAAGCGATCGTGGCGGGGAAAGGGCACGCGAGCCATGAGGGGAACACAACGCACGCGGATGAGGAGAATTGAAGGGAGACGAATGGGGGGAGTGAGTGCGGTGGGCCGGCGGAGGACGGGTTGAATGGACAACCGGAGTGGCCGCGCTTGGCCCTGGGGGAAGACACGGGTTGTGGCGAGGAATAGCGGCAGCATGGAGGCATCAGCTAGCATGGCGAGATTTAAACAGGCTGTTCCCTACGCCGTACCCTTGCGTTAGAACATTGCCGTAGAGCCACATGCGCGCTTCCGACAGCTTTCGACGGAAAGGCGACACGCCAGAAAGGCGCTGCGAGGGAGCGAAGTGGCCATAACTTAGAGGTAAGACGAGAGGTTCTTGGCTAGCTTGCACCTCTAGTCCTAGAACGGTGCTCGCAAGCACCAGCGAGAGAACTACCCGCGCTAACATATTCGGCCAGCCCTCCGCGCTGCCCGCCATGGCATAAGATGCCGCTACCTATCGGCTTCGAAAAGGCTCGGAATACTACTATGGATGTGATGTGTTTGGAGGTTGGTCAGTGCGTGACTGGGCGGGTTATACGGAGCATGGAGGGTGGTGTGGTGAAGGGGTCGGTGGCAACATGTTCGAAATGGTGGGGTGGGGGCAGAAAGAACGGATCTGGTGCGCGGATTGACTCGGATGGGTGCAACGCAACACAAGGGAGGCGAGCAGTTCAACCCAAGCGCGGGCTGTCGCACGCACGGAGCAGAAGCAGATGCAGGCACAAGGAATGCTGGGCTAGGCTTGCGGGGCAGTGACGTCCACGACGCGCGTTGATTGGATGACGAAGCGTTCGCTCTCGAGAAATGAGCGTGTGGCTCCAGCCTGGTTTGCCAAGCCAGCGCGGTCGTCCCTTGCTTGGTGAGGGGCGACGAAACTTTCGCGAGGTCGCCGAGCCACACTCACCTGTAACCACCCAGTTGAGGTCAGGCTCCCAAAAGGGTTGTTGATGGCCAAAGGGATGTGTACACTTCTGTCGAAAACAACCAAAGCTGAATTATCTGTATCTCAAACTTTTAACGCAGTTCCTTTGTCGAGGATTCAATCCCCTGTGCCCATACCACCCATCCCACTGCTGAGTCTCGTTTCTCTCCCCGGCACCCCAGCATTCAGCAGCACACTCGTAACAACCTGCACCCGCACTCCGCCTATTATCGTCCCCCCTCCCGCAAAAAAAGGAACTTCCATCGGCGCGCTTCCGGCTCCTAAGCGCTGCGCGCATCGCAGCGCAGCGCGCAAATGGAGACGCTGCTGGCGAAGGCGCTGGAGTCGAAGCTCAAGTACTACCTGCGCTCGTACACGCGCGACCAGTTCCGCCTGCAGGGCCGCACCGTGGAGCTCTCCAACCTCGGTAAGCCGCGCATTGGGCGAGCGGTGTAGCGGCCTGCCTGGGCACGCATAAGGTCGATGATGGCCGCCTCGTCTCGAAATGTCAGGACCGTTGCGATCCGGGCAAATGGCGCTCGAAACTCCACTTTGGGCCGCTGCCGCAGGCGCGCGACGAGGTGGCATGGCGCCGTGGCAGTGCTGGCATGACATTAACTTTTGCCCGTCCTCCCCATCGTCGCTGGTAACCTATACTACTCACACCATACTGTTGACACATACACAGACAGCACATGCACTAGTGGGGAGGGAGGGGGGGGGGTAGAGTTGACGACACGCGTGACACCACTCCGCGGATGGATGGGGGTCCATGATCTGCCATGATTATGTCCCATGATGCTGAATGCGAACCTTGCGTGGTCATTGGCTCTGCTGCATGCATGTGCGTGCAGACCTGAACGGCGATGTGCTGCACTCCATCATCGGC